ATGTCTTCTTCTACAAGATTAAATAAACACAAGTAATTACAGCCTGATTAGGTGTAAAAAAAAAAAAAAAAAAAAAAAAAAAAATAATTCATATATTTTTTATAATAAGAAACAATGATAATTAATTAGCATTTGATTGGTTTTTATAGAAAATTTACTTTCTAAAAAAAAAGTGATTTTTTATAGTATCGTACATTGCAAATCTTTTATGTCATACACAAGATCCGAGTATAAATTTCAAACAAATCGTTAGATAGATAAAATCGTGCAGTGGAAAATTGATGAACACGCAGCATACTGCATAATCTTATCGTATCAGCTGTCGTACCACTGTATGCTAATAAAGGTAATCTTGCAAAAATGATGTGTAGATTGTATAGTAGTTATCGCCGTTTTTTTTTTAAAAAAGGGGAAATGGCTGCCTGATGACATTGATATACCTGCATATCGTATATAGCTTATAAGTCAATGTTTTCATGTAACAACGATAATTAACCGGGATTATTTTTTGTCATTCGAGCCCCAATTTGTAGATCATTCGGAAAACCCGTCGCACAACCGAATTTTCTTTTGGGTTCACCGGGATGCTTGCCCGCGGAACAAGGAGCTGATGAGACATTTTTAGACATCATGAAAATCACGTTCTGAGGGTGATCCGTTCATGCACCAGAATGATACATTTGCATATCGAGGTTATATTGGCCTCCACGTTAACGTGCGAGGAAATTCCTTGCGAAATTTGTCATATCTCCAAGCCACCAATGACTTATTGGTACAATAGAACAATGGAAAATCAAAAGGCTAGATCATTCCATTCTTCATAGCCAAACATGTTATCTTTCATAATTGGATCCAGTTACCGTAACTCGGAAATTTGGCGTCCAATGACAAATTCGTGTGCCCTTTTTTTTCGTAAGGACATGTGTATTGGGATTAGAATAAACGCAAGCATAATATACGTCAATTCCTTGTATTTCAAGGCTCCTTGTAAAAAGAACGAGAAAACCTTTAAGCCATATAGACTTCATCATTCCTCGAACTTATTCATTAAACTTCCGCGTAAACAGTCTTTCCTTATTATTTATTACACGATATTTTCGAACACGATACGTCACTAAATGCGAAATCTCACGCGTTCGATTTTCTGATTTTCCGTTTGTATCAAAGCATATGAACACCGATGTATAAAAATCGAAAACCGGTTAAGATTCGCAAAAGATTCACTTTAACAGGTAAAGTATACATTTTCCCTGAATATTCCACATGCTAAAATAAACCATTTGGCGTTTATTATCGACCAGTCCATTGTGATTTTGACATAGCATTCAATCTTTTGAACCAACAAGACCATCGTGAGTTAATTTTTTTTCAGATGTTCCAATTCTGTTGGTAATACAATGGCGTACAGAAGTTGCATTATTGCACATCTTTTTATAAGATTTGTTTACATATATAATTAACAACCGAATTTTCTTTAAAACAATTCCAACACATTTTTGTAAATATATGATTCTTAGTGAGGTCCCGGTTTGTGGAAAAAGTGCATTTTAAAAGGAAGATTTTTCCTTCGTTGCTCATTATTGCTTCTTTCATCCTACGGTTCTGGCAAATCTTTTTACATATGCGAGTTACGATCTAAGATATTGTATAGGAAAAAAGTTATTCAAATTTAAGAAATCATTAATAAATTAAGAAAAACGATGCTTCAATTCTTTCCGTTGAGAACGCCCTCACTTCCACCGATTAGGAATCAACCATTCGCATTCAATTTATCAATCATCATCATATCGGTGACAACATTTTGTCTGCTATCGACATTCTGTTGCTTCACGATCGCGATTAATTGTTTTGTCTGGTTTTTCACAAACATAATTGGTGGTGGCATAACAAAAATAAAAAGGGAATTCTTTGATGCGTCATGCAATAAAGAAAGTGATGTGGATTCACGAAATGTGATGCGTATAATTGATTATGAGGATAGAATGGCTAGTAAAAATAATGGCAAAATGCGTGAATTTGAGTAAGTACCACGTCATTTTAGTTATTCATTACTGTATGTTTGTGGTTTTTTTGTTTTTTTTGTATCCTAACCAAACTCTCTCTGTGAAGCCATTCGCGTCTTGAAAGAGGACACGTACTAACACCCGCTGAGTTTTTGTACAAGCGATGTGGTGAGTTTTTGGTCTGACGGGTTTCGCGCACACGCGTATTCATTCATCGCCGAACATTTATAGAAAAAACCAAGAATTCCAAGTTAAATAAGCCATACACACCCGATATTCCGTCTCCGTTGAATCCAGAACGACCAAAAGATCCCAAAGACGTCGAGTATTACCCATCGGAAAGGCACCTAAATCGCTCCAAGCAAAGAACAAAATTATCTCTCACCGTGCGTATCTACTGTATTTTAACTCGCACTCTTTTCATAGGAATTCTCATCTGCTAATCTTATGTATGGCATATCAAAGGATCAAATGATCGAATCGACTGCCGCATACAGGGTAAGCAAACAAAGCTACGGATGGCAAGATGTAAGTGTCAAATTGTGTAACGAAAAGACACGAAATCCCGAAATTATCAACAATTTTGTTGCCTTTGTCGTTGCAGGCGATCTCCTTTACTCCTTGCAAAAAATTCTACGATCCCTATGACTATAGGTATATGTCTATTTATCCTTGCATGGTGTGTACCAAAACTAACATTTACCAGTTTTAATAGCGAAAATGTTCGGGATTTAAATGCGCGTCTTGAGCAAGAACGACCAGATCTTTTAAGGCTTGAGAATCGACCGGGAACGCCTTCGTCCACTTTACAATACACCAGAAAATGTCTGGGCAATTTGATCGCGTCAAGGAAAAGATAAAACTGGAGCAGAATTCATTTTTTAGGCAGGGAAAAGATAATTTTGCATACTACTGTATATATGCATTATTACAAACATGAACATTCCCCGACTTTCTTTGTCACATGATCGTTATAATGTCTTTTCATTCATGCATACAAACAAACAAAACGATAAATAAAATGGTTTCCTCATGTATCATACATATATACGTATTCTCCGATGACAATTTAGTTTGCAGGTTGTGTGTGCGCTTATCAGAGAAATACAGTTCTAGTAGTCAGATAAGACTCCTATGTTTCTTGTATATATTCACGCGTAGTGTATATACAGTAAGTCGATGTGTTACGCCTACTCGTGAGCACCGCCGGCATGAGTTGTACAAAACTTCAGCCGCCAATTTCCCTATCTTATCTCGCTGCATTGATAGGCAACATTTTATTTTGTATAACCTTTCTTATCTTATCTCATAGCGATACTTTCCAAAGTTGTTCGCATTTAACGTATTATGTTAACTACCAATTTTAGAAATGTGCACAAACAGGCACTCTTTTCGTTTTGTATAAAACTCTGAGTGCATCGAATCCTTTGACAAGTTCAGACTGTAAATTTTAAAAATGTCTGATGAATTCCAAATTACCAACGGCCCCGACCAAAAATATTACAAAAAATATAACAAAAACATCTTCTTCTCTTACCCTTCTTCATCCACTTCTTTTCAGTCGGGATACCTTGGTATTGGTCCTTCAAAAATTTCTGGGTTCCTGCACATTCGATCTCCCGTCGGATCCCC